ATGGTGGAAGTGAATATCCTTTTATACAATTTTTTTTTTCTGCACATTTGAATTGACCGAAAAAAAAATAGAAGATATTGTTTTTACTCACCAAAAGTGATTATTCACCAAAAGTGATTGAAGATAATTATGGATTATATTTGGATAGATATTAAATTCTATGATTTTTGGGATGCAACAACAAAATATGCAATCATATGTATATATCTTATCACGTTAAGGGTATATCCATTGTTAAAAAAAAGGGAAATATCTAATGCCTTAATTAACGGAATTATCAATTTCGTATTCCATTTGCTTAATTAATGGGATTGTCCGATACTTAATTAATGGAAAAAACAATTCCATAATCCTTATCACGATTTTTTTTCAAAATTTGATTGAGATTACATACATAGAAAGTCAAAAGTCAACTCAATTTATTTTTGGTTTCTAAATATGATTTTTACATCAACCTTTTTAGATATATATAGATTAAGTGTTATATTTAATGAATCTATGGTTTTGAAAAAAAAAATGAGAAGAGAGGCGGGATTGATACTGTTTCAGCTGAACCCTAATTAGTACAATTAACTACATACTTTATGTATTATTATTAGTACGAATCCCGTGCGATGCACGGGTAGGGGATACATATTAATATTTATATTAAACGATGAGATATACGTTAATAACATAACACGTAGAGAACTAAAGTAAAACACAACCACACGTATGTTTATATATTTGAAAATAAAATTAAAAACATAACCATTTGCTTTTGAAAATCTATATTGTCAACATATTGCTGCGTAGCAAAATTACAAAAGTCAAAATAAAACGTTAGAAAATCGGTAGGATACTCCAACACTTTGCAGTAATAGATTGTTATTTACCAATGTTACTTTCTACCTCGAACTTGTCACTCATCTTTGTAATGTTAACATCACGAATTAGTCCAATTATGCGGCCACCCTATAAAATCGCAATACAAAAATAATATTTTCGTCAAAAAATATTAAAATAATAAATATTGACAACTACTATTAAATCACATAATGAAGAATACTAACATCACTATCATGGAAAACTATTTCCAAATAACTTCTGTAAGAGACATCAAACATCGTCTTAAAGATGCTGCTGGAAGTTTCAAGATGACCTTCGTATTTTATTTGAAATCCTTGATTAGATCAAGGGTTGATCCATGCATTTATTTTGAATGTGTGAGGTTATGATTAGTATTAGATTTCATTTTACCGAGAATGTGAGTTTATTTATAGATGAAATTTTGGTGCATATATATGCACTTATTTTCTAAGTTTTAAAATGTGGATTTATATGATATAAGCTTATTACTTGATTTGATTTTTTTGGCAATTTTGAGGGAAATCGGATCATATCCCAAGAATATCCTAAGACTTGATTTTTTTTTTTCGATTTTGGTGGTAATAAAAACTATTCCAATAATATTCTGTATTTATCTCTTAAATATATGATTTTTTTTTTTAAAAATGGTAAAAAAGAATGTTAGTAATTCGAGGTTCCCAAATTTTTTTATGTTCTTATTTTTTTTAATCCAATATGTTAACACTAACTATTTCGAACGTGTAACAAATATAAAATTGTTGAGATTTTCCTTTATTTGAATCTATGCAATTAGGTAAATAATATTAAGTTAATATATATATATATATATATATATATATATATATATACATACATATCTTTATGTAAAGTAAATAAATAAACGAAGTATTATACCACTATAATATTCTTTCAATTTGTATATTTTAATCAAAAGGAAAATATAACCTCCGATTTAGGTAAATAGATATATGATATTATTTGACATATTCCTTAAAATCCCAGACCTTATTACAAAGTTATATATATTTTTATATAGTTGCGATACGTTAAGTCAATAATTTTAAAATATTGTACTTTTTTAACTGATTTAGTTAGAAGTTGATCAATAAATTTAAAATATTGTACTTTTTTAACTGATTTAGTTACAAGTTGATATAAATTATGACCTCACCAGCCACAGTCTTCCAAATCAAATATCATTGCAAAAAAATAATTTTAAGTAACATGTGAATAATATATAAATCAAACATATACAAAAAAAATTGGTATAACTATAATTTTTATTTTATTTAAAATTACAAGTTTCATATTTTTCTTTTTTTCCTATATTTAGAATATTATTTTATGTAGTATATTTTGTGCGATTAAAATTTTTATATATAATGTTATATTAAATACAGTTTCTGAATTAAATTACGAATTTAAATAATTTATTTAACTAAATCAACTAAATAATAAAAAAAACTTTTAAATTAAGTAACTGGAGAAAAAAATATTATAATTTTTATTGTACGTTTTTTTTAAGAATGAAGACCAAGTATAAATGATAATTGAATTATAAAAAAACATGTAATTTGAGAGTAATAATTTAGAGTTTGCAATTAAAGTAAAACAAACCAGCCCATTGTCGTGGTCTTCCCTTTATTCGCAATATATCATGGAAAATAGGATATTTGAGTCTTTTCTCCATGAACCAATTTTGATTGAATGGGTTGAACCTTAATGACCATACAAATTTCTACAATATCAAAATAATTCGATCAACAATTTATTAAGTGGTGTCAAATGAAAATAAAAATTGTAAAAATATTTGAATTCACATTAAATTAAACAATTATAAAAAAGAATGATTCATCCACATTGTCAATATCGAAACTACGAAAGTCAAAATTAAATGTAGGAAAATCGGAAGAAATTTCCAAGACCTTCGTCTTCCTATTAATTATGAGTTTCAACTTCGCCATGGTAGAACGATATTTACCAATATTGCTTTCTAATTGGTAATTACGAATCTTGTAAATATTCAATTTTTTCTGCGTGCGGACGTATATTCCATAAGGCTGAGTAAATAAATTTTAAAATTTGTATAATTTTTTTTATAAAGTTGGTAAATACGTATATTTTGTAAAAAATATTTGGTAAATACTTATAAATTTTATAGTCAAAATAATAAGACTGAGTAAAGATTTACCAATTATAGTCTTATTAAGACTGAGTAAATGTTATAAAAATATTAATTGGTAAATACGTATATTTTGACTATAAATTTACTCAGTCTTTCAATAAGGCTTTTGTGCAGGTTTATCATCTTCTTTTTTTTTTTTTCAAATGAATACAAATTCATTAATCTCACAAGATACAAGTTTGAGTTCAACTGAACAATGCGTACCATCCCTATCAACTAAGATAGGCAACCCACAGGGGAATGCACATTATCCCCCTGCCAAAGCCATTTTGGCTAACCCACAGCTAACTACTAAGGACTCTGAGCCACTAAAACTACACACAAGAAAAGAAGACTTCAAAACCATAATATCCTCAAATAACAACATACAAGATAAATCAAATAAATCATCTGCCGCACCCTGATTCAAAGCAGCAGCTAGATTTCCAAACAATAAGGAGCACTGCACTTCAAGCCATCCTTTGTCCACAGCAAGATTTAAAGCCCACCTAATTGCCTTAAGATTAGCTTCTATTTTAGTATCAGTCCCACTCCAACACTTGCTTTATCATCGGCAAAAACCAATTTTTTATCCCTAAATCACAAATCACAATCAATTTGCCATTTTTTTTCCATACGTTTCTCAACCAACATCTATTGAATTAGTGTCCAGACATGTAGAAAACAACATTTTAAATCATACATCTTACGAATAACACAATGGCTTCTAACAAACACGGTATATATAATCAATCATACAAAGCTTTCACTGAATAACCTGACATAATACACACACATCCACAGGCAGCCACAAGAAAACTCGATTATCCATCAGTACATTGAAGGACCAAACAAAACATTATTAGCAATTTAGCATCAATATAATCCTACCATAACTATTATCATGAGTACATAAACATTACAAATTCTAAATTAAAATCTATAAGCTGATTAACAAACACTTCATATCAGCTCCAGCAACAACAAAATGAAAAATTACAAAAATTATGATAATTATTGAAAAATAAAGAACACGCACCGTTATCACCGATCAAAAGGAGTTTGATTAGGTAATCGTAATCAGCTCGAGCTCTGGTGGGAGGAGCAGTCATCTGATTTGCTTTGTTCTGTGTTTTTACTTATTCCAAAATCAAAGCAAACCTAGCAAACAACAGCAAATCAAACAGATAATCACAATTTCATTAAACGGGTTATAAAATTCTGCAAAATATTAAAAGAAAACGATGAAAAAAGCTACTGAAAATTCATCTTTAAACGATTATGAAGCCAAGCAGGCGACATCATTTACTTCACTCGAGTTTCACTTCCAATTTACACATGGATTCTTAGGGACCAAAAGAAATTAACATGATGAAGGTCGAAACAGCCTGCGAAAGAGAATTTGAAAAAAAAAAATAAAAAATGATTGTAACATTACTCTTCAAAAAGTCATTATCAGTATAAACAGATACTGAATTTCCATAAAAGACCAATCCATCATTCAGTTTATCCCCTTGTTTCAGAAGAAACATGATAACCCACCCTGAATTTCTGTATAGTCTATCTTATGTTTAAGCCAGTTGGCGAAATTTTGAGAAGAAATGCAGGGTCCAGTTAATAAGAGAATTTGGATATCAATGACCAATAGATAATAATTCCAACGACACCGTTTTACTATCTGGATGCTCTGTAGTCGGAAAATTTGAGAAGACTGCTACCTTAGTCTAATACACCACGTAAAAAGATATCAATCTGTTATCCCCTTAAAACAAATCGATTTCTCTGTTTGCCAGTAACCCACCAATCACGCACATTAAGCCATGAATGAGAAACTGAGCTGCTCAAATACACCCTCCTAGATCATGACAGATTTCAAAGTAAATCTCGATTACATCTAGCAAAAGCATACCAATAAAAAATGAGATGGACCTAAAGTTTTGCTAGATTCATGGTGACAAAAAATTAACTCAGTCGTTCAAGAAAATAATTCAATAGTACTCAACATAAGGTAGACTATACAGAAAACATGTATCAGTGACGATCTTCAGTAAGAGCCTCAAATTCCATATGGGTATCGGCAAGCCAACTGGCTTAAACATGATAACCCACCCTGATTATTTTTCAGAAGCACCGTGAAAATTACACTACAGAAGGTAATGCAACCAAAAAGGGTGAAGATGATGAAGACTATCTGGCACCAGCTAAAACAAAAAGGACTGTATATAAATGGATATGATGAAGTGATATGGTTTATCAATCATAATTGGATATATGTTGAATTACCTGTCATGTGTTCTGCTACAGACAAGCTACAGCTCACTATAATTACGCCAAACGGCACGGAATTCTTCACGGAATGTGTTCAGGTGAGCTTTCAAGTTGGGTGTTCTAAAGCTTGTGTGAATGAGAGTGGCTGTAGCAGAGAAAGCAAGTTAGAGCCAATAAATTCAGAGGGCAAAGACGCATAAGCAAATGAAATTTTGAGTTACCAAGAAGTCCAATAGCAAAGGCCCATAAGACCATTAGAATACCACATGAAGCAAACTAGAGAAAGAAACTCACTGCAAAGCGGAATAAGAAGGCATAGTTATTATCATGTGACAGTACATCCTCCAAGATGCAAAGTAAACAATATGTGAAAGAGAAGATATCTCTTACTTGCAGAAAATACCAAGACGAATACCCATCGAGGCTGTCCACATATATGTATTGCTCGTTTTGCAGATGGGCGCCCTCGAATAACAGGTCTAAAATTACAAGCCCATGTAAGAACCAGAAAAAGATGATACGCAAATTTAGCAGTAACTATACTTACGTGAGATGAGATCTCATCTTTGCTGCCAAATGAGGAGAAAACTGTCTGACAGTCCTCGTGACCTTTTCACTAGAAGTCCCTGCAAAGCTGCAAGAACAAACATTGACGATATTAAAACGATGACGAAAAACAAAAGAATAATGGTTCAAGACTATTCAAGACATGATCAGCCATCCATCATAACAAACAAGTTCTCATCCCACAAAAGTATTAGGAAGGCGGACGATACACTACACTCGTGATTCCAGATTTCCAGTTCTTCCCAACACATACTTTCATCATATGATAACCCAAAAAAAAGGCAAAAGACAAAAATCTCCCAAGAATAAAATGAACAATACCAAATTGCAATAGGTCTTCGCCATCGCTGTCTCCTTCCTTCTATTCTCCTCCACCGTCCCCTCCGACCTCCGAACGGAATAATCTCATGATTTGGACTTGAAGTGAAGAAGAAATTCGGGTTTTCGCCGCCGACGGAGCCGAATTCCGCCGTCACGGAACCGAATATCCCGACCTCGGTCTTCAAGGACCTGTAGCTAAACTTAAGAGCGGGCCCGAGTCGAGCCTGACTTCGAAGTTGATGGAGAGCTTGTGGCGATCACCGACGGTTAGGGGAATCGCCTTGAGAATTGGGGGTTTCGGGGTCCTCCCAGAGAATGAGCGAAGATTTCATTATGTGGGTTTTTTTCTCGAGATAATAGCGGCGATTTTTAGTGGAGATGTATACTTAATTAAGATGAGATAAGACTATGGCAAAAAAATCTCCCCATATCTTTAATGATAAACAAAGAATCGGCAGGCATCTATATCTATATATGTATATAATAAGAATTATCATTTACCAAAAATAGTAGCAAAAGAATAGGTCAGAATTTAATGCAGCCTATAAATAGTAAGTTCTATTAATTATCTTATCTATACTTATATTAAAGGGAGTCCTATTTACCAAATTTAGTAGCTAGAAAAGTCAACAGCATTTATTGTCATTACTATTTCCGTATTATATAATTTTATTTAATATTTATTTTTCTATTACGATTTTTAAAAACAGATATGGTCAAATTCTCTCATTATTAATTGCTTTCCATTAATTATAATTTATTTATTTATTATTTTATTAGCAAAAACGGACCAACATTAATTGATTTCCTTAAAATGTGGAAGTTGTTGCTTTATTTTTGTACAGAAAATCGGGCTTCATTATAGAAATTTGTTCAATTACACAATGAATTTTCTATGATATAATTATTTTTTATGGGAACTTTTTTTTAACAGAAAAATATGGCATTTCAATAAGATTTTCGATTTTTTAAGATTGATCGTTATCATGTTATGAAATTGAACATTCCAATATACCTTAACAAAACATACACATGGTGTATACATCAGTTAATAGAAATATAGAATCCTCATATTTTTATATATATGTATGTAATTTTTCTATTACCAAATTTAATTGATAGTTGTTGTGTTATGGGTTTTTTCATAATTGTTACTTGGTTGTTGTGATATTTAGTTTGGTTGGTGTTGCAAAAATTCTAATCTATATATATAATAATTAATAAGAATAATCATTACAATGCAAATTAGAAAAATATTGATATTAGAACTGATTGAGTTCATGGCTTTTCTTAAATCAAAGTTGTTTAATTAGTATACAAAATTAAATTCTAAAAAAATATATGTGTATATTTTGTACATTAATTATACACTATTTAATTTTAAATTTATTTACATATTTTAAATTGATTACTTATATAAATAATACCAACGTGCATTAAATATATTTCATTGCATAAAATAAAAAGAACAAGAAGACGTGCAACTTGTATAACTTTATAAATAATAATGACATTATATGGCAACAGAGTTTAATAATTAACTATTATATAATGAATAAGAATAAGTAAAATTGTTATTTTCTCTTATATCAAGGAATAAATATATAAAATAAAATTAAATTTATATTAGTATAAATGTGTTAGTGAGATAATATATTAATTATTTTACAAGTTAGCCCTAACATGCTCACGTTTAATGTTCTGACTAATAAAACAAAGCTGATTAAAAGATGTGAAAAATAGATTACAACCCTATTTTTTTAGACTTAACGGTGATTAAAAGAGGTGGAAAATAGATGATAACTCTTTTCAGACTTAAACGAAACTTAACGGTGATTAAAATTGGTGGAAAATGGATAATAACCTTTCTCAGACTTAAACGGACAGAGCCTGTGAAAATAATTCATTTAATATCTGTCTCCCGTGCATCGCACGGGGTACGTACTAGTTTTTTTCTTTAAAAACTATACAACATTATATGCTACCTTAAATTTTGGGCTTTAATTCATTTTATTATTTAGAAAATCCAGCTAAGATTTATTAAGTGTGTATGTTTTTATTTTTATTTTTTTCTTAGAAACAACGAACAACATTAAAATATCGGTCTCTATATTTATAAAATCTTAATTCAAATTATAACAAAACTTTTAGAATCTCGGTTTTTATATTTGTGCCTTTAAAAAAAATATTGAATGCTAAAAATATTTTTAAATTGCATAATCAATCAATTAATCTTAATTTTTTTAAAATTACTATGTTTATTTTTTATTAATATGCATAAAGTAAAAATAATTAATTCATATTTAGATATATAATTTATAATCTTAATATACTATCATTTGGTGTAGATATTTATTATGAATCATAAAATATTTATATTTCATAAAATTAAATATATTTAAAGAAAATAAGAAATTTTTTCGGATCAATCGAGTGATTGAATTAGGGTATTGCCCAAGTTGATTGAATTACTTTTAGGTGATATATAAAATATTCAAAAAATTTGACACAACTTGGTTGGTCTGAGGTGACTAAGTTATGTATCAGTTCGACCACACCAAATCGATTATTGAACCTAAATATAAATTTTATATTGAAAATATTTTATTACGTGAATGTAATGTAGCCCAAACTTCAAATAATCGTATTAACAATACTTTTATGACAACATGTTTAATGATTTATGAATACTTATATATCATTTTATTAATATTTTTTTGAATTAAATAATATTTTATTATAATATTTATTAATGTACCGTAAATATAAGGTTTCATAACTGGACATCATCGAAAAGATCAAGCTATTTTATTAAATGATTTGTGGTTTGTGCAGATTTTAATTTGTCAATTAATAAATTTAAATAAAATGTGTTACTTAGATATCTAAACAATTTATAAATTCAAATGTTTAAACTAATTGATAAATAATTTATAAATCTCTATTTTATTTAAATATGTAATTTTATTTAAAATAATTTTAAATATAACAAAATTTATTTAAAAAATCGTATCAATCCTACTAGTCCAACCGGCTGGTATTGACGGATTCAAGAGCAAATATTTTATTCAAGCGAACTAGACTGGTTATAAACCGGTTCTCGGTGCATTCGGTCGGACTGTGTTCAACCCGGTTTAATTTAAAAACAATGGATAAATCATGATTAATGTTATTTATATATTTAATTTGTAATACAATCGTAATATTGTTTTCTCGTGCATCGCACGGGCCAGACACTAGTATAGGGAAAACAATGAAAAAAATCTTCCAAAAAATTCGAATTGCATATGGGCTGGCTTATTTCAATTTTTTGCCAAAAATCTTCCTCATTATAGTAAACTTTAGGCGGGAAATGATTTTTTTTTTTGCTGATTTTTAGTTGATTTTTTCAAACAACTATCATTCCCTATTTATATATTAATAGATTACTTATCCCGTGCGATGCACAGAGTTATTTTCACAGGTTCTGTCCATCGCACGGAGTTATTTTCACAGGCTCTGTCCATATAAGACTAAAAAACAATAGGGTTATCAATTATTTTCTACCTTTTTAATCTCGGTTAAGTCTAAAAAATAGGGTTATAATCTATTTTTCACCTTTTTTAATCAGTGTTATTGTTTTAGTCAGAACATTAAATATGGGCAAGTAGAGACTAGCTTGTAGAATAATTAATATATTATACTAATATAAATTTGATATAAAAAAAATAGCAGTTTTACTTATTCTTATTCACCATATAATACTTGATTATTATTTTATTATAAACTTCGTTGTCATCTAATGTTATTGTTATTTTTAAAAGTTATAGAAGTTATACGTCTTTCTTTTCTTTTTATTTTATGTTATGAAAAATATTTAATGCATGTTAATATTATTTATTTACGTAACAAATTTAAAATATGCAAACAAATTTAAAATTACATAGTGTATAAATATTTTACAAAATATACACACATGATTTTTCAGAATTTAGTTTTGTATAATAATTAAACAACTTTGATTTAATAAATGCCAAAAACTCAATCCCTTCTATAATCAAGATTTATCTAATGTGTATTATAAAAAATTTATATTTTATTTAGCATACTCTGCAATAGAAATATATTTTACAATAATTTTATTATTGAAAGAAATCAAAATGAAAAAAACGATAAAAAAAATCATGGTTGTCAATAATATACAAATAAATTCTAAAGAACAATTAATATATTTTAGTTTAAAATTTTGACTATTAGTAAGACTATTTAATGTATCTGGTCATTATTTATTAAATGGTAAATTATGTTAATTTGATGAATAAATTATTTTTTATATATAACGAAATAAAGCTTAAGAAAAAATTATATTGACAAAGCTTAATTCACCAACTTGATTTCGCCAGATTAATTGGAATAAAAATTCTACCTTACCTATTACGATTTTTTATATATATATTTTGATAAAAAGTGAATATTTAAGAAAAACATTAATATTATGGTTAGAACTTAAAATATATTGTAATATTTATCTTGACCAAAATATTATCCACATGAATCACGAAAAATCAATCTTGTAATTTATTATAATGAATATCAATGAAATTATTGCAGATATTAATAAAATTATATAAAGAAACAATATGTTTTATCATTTATGATTTGATCTTATTTGAAAGAGTGTATATAGAAGCAATTAGTGCATTCATTTAAAAAATTTCCAAAAAAGGTATGCATTAAATTCTCTCAAAATTTTTAATACTATTTTTAGTAAATGGTTATTTTTATTATATAGATATAGATATAGATATGTATTATATATATAATTATATATATAAAACATCCGGATCTGGTCGGGGCGGGGCAGGGCAATAGGTAGGACCTAGACCTGGCCTATTTTTCTTACGGGCTGGACCTGTCCCGGCACATTATACAAACAGGACAGGCCAAGTCTTCCCCAAACACTCCGGGTTGGGCCCGCTCGAATCGGGTCCAGGCCAAGTGTTTGTATTAAATTATTTGCCTTAAGTTTTTGTCTAAGTGTTCCAAAATTGGCCTAAGTATTATTTTGTTCGCCTAAGAGTTCTAAAGCCTCGGCCTTTAGCGTTCTTTTGTCCAAGCCAAGCAAGTAGCCAATCACACCCTAGTAGCTTAAGAACCGACCATTAGTAAAACTAGTTTTTGTCCCGTGCATTTGCACCAAAAATTATATGATATATAAAAAAATAATAAAAATTATAAACAATAGTAAAAATCATAAAAAAATCATTGATTTTTTTTTTAAAAAAATATAAATATTCTTAAATACTTCTTTATAAAACAACGTCGTGATTTTTCTATCGTCAAAATCTCCCTC